GCTCAAAACCGAAACTTTTACATTTATAGAAAGTTTGGATGTAATAATCTTACTACTGACAACAGTTGGTAGACTAATTTGATCAATAACTGCCTCGCCTCTTACTCCCTTCCCTCCAGTGGGTGGTTGACGCAGTGGATAGAAATCCTATCTTAACCAGCCTAATTTAAATTTAAATGAAGAGAGCGAACACAACATAGAAGGCAGAGTGGAAGAAAACAGAGCAAAGTAAATGGGGATCAGTAGTTGTTTGTGGATTAGCTTATTCAAAGCGCGTTGGTGCTCCCATTTTCCACGTTTTCTTGGTTATTTCAATTGAGGTGTTCGAAAGCTAAACAAAACACAATGAAACATGTAAGTGAGATGCAATAGTGGCTTGAGGCAAGGCGGTATACCACAAGTGTAGATATTGAAAAATGACTATACTTGTTCCTCCGAAAATAAGATCAACATTTTTTGTCAAACTGTGTGTCCACGTGGAAATTTGCCAGTTGGTAATACTTAATGATAGTCTGACTTGAGTCTACGTCATTGCCAATGGAATTATCATGTACGAAACACTTGCTCAAAGTATTTCACATATGGTGAATTTTAGCTAGTGAATAACGCTGGACTTCGATTATTTGAATGGAAGTACGAGAGGAAATGACATTGCCTACTTATAGTTTCCATTTCTATTATTGTATTGGAGTGCTTCTTTTGGAACGTCAGACTCTGGAGACAGGTACGAGATCCATTGAGCAGTAAGTGGATAACCCGAAAGTTCTTCAAGGGTTTTGAGAGTAATATAGCTTTTTTGGTCCTGTTTATTGCATTCTCCGCTCATGTGCTTTTACCTACTTCTCTAATTTGGGTTCCTTTGCGCAGTTAAGGAAAAGTCATAATTCTTGAACCCTTCAATATTAGAATAGTGAATTAAAGTAATATTAGTTACCTGATAGATTGCATCATCAAGAGCCGATATCTGGGCTTTGATGTCTTCCAACGCGACTCCAACTTTTTTGAGGTTATCCAGAATTTCAACTGACTCAGTGAGAGGGTTATATCTAATTGCAAATGGTCTCTCGAACCCCAAAACAAAGTGTCTAAAAATGGAATGCGCAAATTTTAATGAAATTAGATGCGTTTTGAATGTTACTTATATGGTACTATTGATCAATACCTCACAATGTCTTCAGCTTCTTTGAAAGTGCCCGTTGTAAAGTAGGCTTTTTGATAAGTGGTTACCATGCATTCTTCCTCCACGACATCCTCAGGGATAAAGGGCTTCCTGATTGCTTCATCGCTCAGAGCATGCTGAAGTCAAGCATATACAAAACCAAATTTACTAACTACGCCCTGTCAATTATAGCTGATTATCAAATGCTATCAGCTCCACTTCCTGATTCTCTGATGTTTTACTAATAAGCTTCTATGATAAAATATTAGACTTTTAAAGGCGATATTAATCACTGAACCCTTTACGATTGAATTATTGGAAGTATGTCGAGTGGCCCTTTACAGAACCATTTATACCCTCATGAGGACTTCAACAGATGCAAAACGTAGACTGCATGAGTGGATATTGGACTTAGGCTAGAATATAAAGTAGGCAAGATCAAACTCTCATGCTGTTTGAGAGAGTAGTAGTTCTTCGATGCAAGATTGTTGGTTCTTTTCATCCATTTCAATCTTTATGCTTACCGACAAAAATACTCCAACCAATCATGAATCTCATTTACTTGTTTCCTACTTCGCAATAACTTAACTTAATAATACAACTGATGTAGACCACGCTAAATACTGACAGAGGTCTGTAGTTGCCAATGTTGTCAGTGGTACTTGACAATGAGGGCTAAGGTGATGATTTATATGCAAGTGTTAATATAAGTTCGACTTGTTTAACTGACTTCAACTATTTGCTTGCTATGGACCTGTCTGCAGGTTTCATCGTCATGCTAATGAGTATCCCAAAGTGGTTTAAAAGACGAATTGCGCTTACTTTCAACTCAGATACTGAAGAAAGCAATCCTGCTCCAAACGCCCTCAGTTGCCCATCTTGTTTGCAGATCCCGAATTCAGCTGAGAAGAAGTAGAGCTAAATGAACGAGCATCGAAACAACACATTAGTAAATTATGTTCAATATTTGATGTCAACGTCATTTTCAACTTATTTCAAGGCGTTGGAATGATAGTGTGCAAGAATTAGAAGTGGGACGAGTTAGCAACCTCACTAGCTCAGTGCAGAAAAAGAGCCCGATGGCCAGTGTTAAGAACAGGTGATATGCTTCACCTAAGCCCCACGCTACCTGAGGAGCGAGTGCTGAAAGCTACAGGATAGTCGCTCCTTATTACCTTTCAAACTTTTTCATTGTAATCATAGCGTTTTTTCATGACGACCAATCTAATCATTGTGCTGGGTTTCTGTATTTTATATACACTGAACCTGATGTCAAGAGGTTTGCTCCTGTACAAATAAACCATTTATATCCAATTTATTTCCTCAGTCCGATCAGTCTTTTTAGACCTCAGTAAAGATCGTTTAATGTATAAAAATGATGATGCTTGTGTGCACAACCTACTTTAGCCAGCTTTTGAACGTCCTCTTCTCCAGCACCCAAGGACGCAAGACCCAGTTCCTGAGAGTATTGCGCGAATTCTGGGTTTGCCAGCAGGGGTACGTGTCCCATTAACTCATGAATGCAATCTCTATTTCAAGGAAAATATTCTCATGCATCACATTCATTAACACTTTTATTCATTAATCAATTAGAAGCACTGAATTTACGGTTCCACTGTGTAGAATGGTTCTGCTTCATGACGAACGTACTGCGTGCAATAGAACACACGATATGCAAGCCCTTGAAGAAATTCCCGGGCTGATATATATCCTGCCACTGGGCGTAACGTGAAGCCCGATCGTTCTGTCAAAAGATGAAATTTCCAAAGAGTAAGTGAAAGCATATGCATTAGGGAATTCGCTTCCCTTGACGATATTAACATTTCATTTTAAGTAAGGGATTATTTATTCGGAGTAAATATTACTATGTAATGTTATGGCAATAGTATTTTTCTATGGAATTATTGAATAGGGAAAAGATAGGAACCTTGGCATTTTATTCCACCATTGATATTATGACAAGGGTGCTTTTCATATTTACACAATGGGAGCATTTCGCCAGTTTCAAGCATTTTACCTTGGTTTAATCTATAATGCTTTTTGAACCGTACGGTCCTCTTTCAAAGTAAGCTCCATTGGTACTAAACTCATTATGGAAGGCGATATTACCGTTTGAAACATGTTCCATACGTCTGAAACCTTCGAATGATGCACCGCCAAAACTCATCATGTCGGCGGCATCAGTCTGCAGTGAGACGCGTGAATGCGATTCGGTGCATTTTCCAAAAAATAAATCGGAGCTTATATGATTAACTGGGTTTAATATCTGGGAGCTCAAGAAAGTAGATTTAGCTTTCTCCAGAGATGGAGAGCTAAGTAGTTTTGCTATCGTGGGTGTCCGAAGTAGGAAGAGGAATAGCTATTCAAATGACGTGGCATGTCTATCGGTAGAAATTCTACTATTCTCCACGAATTCAAGCCTGAAGATTACATAGCTAAGCAGTAATTAGGACGGTTCAAATGTCAGCAGGCCGATGCTAGTCTGCTCACGTGCCTTCCCCTTGAGTTGAACAAATGAGGTTAATAAACGAATAGGGCATTCATCTTCCTTCCTCCGGTTTGAGAAATGAATGCTAGTATATCTTGATGGCCACCTGACAAAATCCTAGTGGTTAGGCTATTTTGTATTGCAATAATTTAGGTGGTATTTGTGGAGAGCATGGGACATCGAAATTACAAACGACTTACTTTTCAGAAAGTTTGAAACCGTCTCTAATTGTGGCAAATCGTGCTCACTAAAAAGGAATAGAATAACTCATGAAAATAGGCTAAGATTAAAGTCAGATTTTGTCACTTAACGGTTTTTTATTTACCGGAAAATGGGTTAAAGCCTCGTCCCATTTAAGGTGAAAATGACATCACCAAGCTAACTTCCAAACTCGATATGAATAAGTGCGTGGAAGCTTATATAGTCAGTCAGAAATTCAAGTGAGCACAAACATATATTCTACAACAATTCCACTTAAAATTTAATTGAAAGATAAGCTCCAAACAAACTCTATCGATACCTTCGAGAAATGAAAGTAATTGGCATATAGACCCGGCCAAATATAGAGGTAGGGAGATTGTTGATCTCGAGATTGAAATCTTTAAATTTACCTTTATCACCGATTAGTAAACACTAAATTGAATGCTCTACACCAACTGGTCAAATCATATATTAAACTGCCTTTTGCAAGAATGAAATAAATATTTCATTTGAATTACCTCACAATAAACCGGTAAGTCAGATCTGAACGATGTGGTGTTGGATAACCATTTCAATTGTTAATGAACTTCAGAACTCAAGCGTTTAAGCTTGAACTTTCCACAATGAAAATCGTCCCTTAAGTACAAATATGTGAATTGAACCATTTTAATCTGTTTTTTCGCATTCTATTAGTGTTTTTTTCCTACATGCTACAAAAATATTACTGCTAAGTCATACTAATTAATACTCTTCAACACGGGAGTCTTTTCATACCTTAGACGGCTAGAATACTCTCACTACACTTTAACCTACTGCGCCAAAACACACCCGTATATAAATTTTTGCTCATTACACCCATCGACCTCATGTTGAATAATTTCGATTCTGTTTCTGTCTCGCATTACTGGATTTGGATTGAAGGAAAGGCAGGATTCTACTGTAAATAGTTAGGAGGATCTTAAAATGCAATCCAAATCTCAAGCTATCAGAGTTGATCATTGACAAATCTCATTATGGGATCGTCCACTAGACTCACTGACGTTTTATGAATAAGAAACAAGGATGGACCTACCAATAGCCAGCATATTTTTGCAGAAGTGGTAAATTCTCCTGACATTCACGGCAAGCATGCGTCTTATACACTTTCAGCAATTCGCGATAGACTATACCCCTGAAACCAATAATTATTAGGGTAATATTATTGATATAAATTAAACTTTCCTGAGCACAGCCAATTTCTACATTCATTTAGAGAAAATAATTTCCCATCTGTGACAAGAATTTTAATTTAAGGCATAACGCGACTTGAGCTATTTATTAATCCTGGGTTGCGCGATTTACTTACCTTCACGTGGAGCACTCTAGTCTATAGATCGATAGTTGACCTCTGACTTCTTACTACCATAACCAGACCCTATGTCATACTCGACCACTTTCATAGTACTCACCTCTCCTTACCTCGTTCTCTACCTTTGTGTCTGTTTGTCCCTTTTACATCTGTGATTCAATCCTCCCTTCTCCCTCTCCATTTGTGTGACTTTGATGTTTCTCCAATCTTTAAAGCCCACAGTCATCTGAAGAGCTAACGATAACTGTCATAAAGACTGCTATTCATGAAAGGAGCCTGATACTGGAAAGTGTTTACTTAAAGGTGACCCTAAATGTGCTAATAAAGACCAAAATTGGGGGTCGTTGGCTTCAATATCTCCTTAAAATTCGAGGTCAAAGCACAATGGCCCGATAAAACGATTTAACCCACAAGGTCATGAGCGAGTGTGATAGAGAGTATGATACCCGTATGACGTAATTCTACTTCCCGTATAGTAACTTCTATTTATTTCTAATTTCTTCGAGCCCAGATCACACTAGATGAGGTCAACAGCACAATCACATGACCTACCAAGTTTTCTTTTCTTTCTCCGAATATTCCACTCTGGGTATCGGATCTCCACTGCAAAATAGAAATAAATAAATAAATACATGAATGCATAAATGGAGACACAACATGAATCTCCACACAAACACCTTTAACAAACAAATTCCACGTACCACTTATAGTTATGGGCAATGCTCGCAAATTCCATACGCCTCTTTCGATATGCCTCATCCTTGAAACTTGGGTGGTTTGCATCCAAGTCTTTTCCATACATGAAGACATTGTTTGAGATTACATCGAGTTCAGAAATTTGTCGAGGAAACCATGGAACAGTTACTCCATCTCCCACAGTTGCTAGATATGACAATTATACTTTATTTTCCGAACTTGAATAAGCAATTACTTGCTAAATAACAAAATTATTAAAACTCCTCCTATTTTCAAATATTTCCACTATCAACTGTCACAGCGCAGTGTTAATGACTCTTAAAAATTACAGATGTAGGGTTCTCCTGAGTTAGGATATCAGGCAATTCTAATGATTATAACTTCAAAAAATGAGGGATCATGAAAAAAATTAGATCAGCAAATTCTGTGATTAATCCTCAAAGGAGAAGATTTCGCTAACGAGTTGGTGTAAATATCTTCTCGATTTGAGTTATATAACACAAATTCGTGCCTAAGGCAAATCAAATGGGTCTCTGATTTGAGCACCAATAACAAGAACGGTGCCAATTCAAATCTCCAGAAATGCGAATAGCTAACTTCAGGGATTTCGAGCTATATTTTGGCTAATAGAGGAATTGAGGTACAAAGAGGAACTGCGACTGTCTTTGAATTAGGTCCAATTCAATAAACAATTTAAGATTACCTTGCGAAAGGTGAAGACGTATTGTTCCGTTCAGATTATTCGAAGATTGTAGGGAAATATATTTGCTAACCATTTGTAACTTTTTAATGTTCTCATCATTTAAGCGATTTTTTGACATAACCTTTACAATGACATCTCCATTGTCCTGAGCTTCAGTATCCTTGACAGTCACATCCATTTCCTACAACGTAAGGAATAAGCAAATTTATTCAAAGTCTCATATTTGAATGAACACTACATAAGCATGTGTAGATCGCTAAAGTACAATAGTACAATAAGTACAATAGTCTGCCATTTATTTCTTGCCAAAGTGAAAGATTTGTGGAGCACACAACACTGTCAACGCTGAATAAAGCAGCCTCATGCGCATTCAGACGGGCTCAAAGGTGCGGCCATAACACTTCGTGTAGGAAGCAAGTGAGGTTGAATATTTGAACGCTATAGAAAGAACTGGAAGTGGGGGAAATCTGTACGATTAAGTCCTAACAGAATTGGAGTAATATAAGGCTAATTATGTCGGACTTCCATAGCCCACTACTCTGTGAACCTCTCGTCATTTCAAATCTTTTTTGGAATATATTCGAAGTTGCCTCTGTTCCTTTGCCTTCTCATTATTTAACCAAACATAAAGATTCGATCTTCAAGTAATAGAACTCATAACACCATATGTACTTACTTTAAATTGCATGAGCAGGGTGACAAATTCGCCGATGGTAGCATTTTTGGCGATTACTAAAGCCATGTCTTCGGTCATCTTCGGTCAGTGGATAACCTCTCCAAACTCTACAGTATGATCACTTTGGAGAAGTTCTCGCTTTTTTAAGGTCCCACACTAATCCGCTGATAATTAAGATAACATTCAAATTAATCCTAGCTTAGCATAAAGCTAATCTCTATAGGTTTAACTCAAACATGATTGATTAAAAAATCTAAAAATAACAAGGGTAGGCGAAGCGTAAATTTCATAAATAGACTAAAAAATGAAATAGATCAACTAGCTAAGGCTTGTTTAATCGAAATGAAATAATTGACATTGTATCAGAAAGGTCGGCTTACGCTTCCTTTCATAAAACTTGAAGAAATTTCGTTTTAATGTCATACAATTGAAGTGGAGTTACAATTTTTGAGCTTACGATTCCTGGAAATGGGCTATACTATCTACATTAATGAGTTCAAACACCTGTCTGGGTTAAATAGTAAACAAAAAAATGGTCTGACCCTTAAGAGCATAAAGAAATAGTCAATGAAGATGTAGCAACTTTTTAAACGGAAACTATTACAATCAATTACTTAGATTCGCACAGAAAACTTTTAGATAAAGCATTATATTATCACTCTCCGTTGCTTAAGGTGCTTGAGCACATTAATTTTAAATAAGTGTAGAGATTCAATTTCAAAAGTTCGGTTTTCGCTAGGACAGAGAATGAGAAAAAAAATGCCAAAAAACTAAAGGGGACAGATAGGTAGATGGCTTTGTCAGTAGTGCCTTTTTTATAAGAGGATTAAACGCCAGCAAACATGACTCAAGTTCATGGGGTCACAAGAAGAGCAGCTTATTTCACACATGTAGACTGAGATTCCACTACCATTTACCCATTGTCGATGCTCCCATTTTTTTTGTATATGAAGAATGAAAATTATTCTTAAATAAAATTTACGCAATCAAAATGCCATGTCTACAAATAATCAGTGAAAAATAAAAAATTCCCATAAGGTTGCTTAAAAATTTATTATTGGACTTAGGTAGGTTAAACTTGCGAGAAATCGCTTTTCTTTCCCAAACAGGGGCAAACGAAACGAATGGAATTTTTCAAGATTGACCCCCCAAGAAGACCGCCTATGAATCCTGGATACGATATATATATATATATATATATATATATATAATTGGTTACTGGGTCTCTTAACACAGACCTGTTAAGCTATCAAATACATTTTATCGTATTACACTTAAAGACAGGCAACACGAATTACTTAGTAAAACAACTCTGTGAAAACTAATTCCTAAGTCGAATGAAGACTCATTAATAAGTAACATGTGGTAATTAACTCCTTTGCCTTACATGTTTTCTGAGACCTCTGTCAACCACTTTGTTTGCCAAGTTAGAACACAGAACAACTTAGCACAGTCCCGACATTTGAATGCAAAGAATAAGAATAAGGAAGCGAAGAGAGAGAGCTTTGAATTTCATCTAGTTTTGATATACATGGACAGAAGTACTAAAATGCAGTTCGGATCTCTTCCCATAATGCTGTTGTCTCTAAGATCAGAGATTTAGTCGAAATGAAGCAGCCCTATTAGACCGTGGATATTTGAAGAGAAGATTTATGACAGCCACATTAGAAAATCTTAGCCTTTCAAAGAATATGTAAAGCGAAATTAAATTGAACCATCAAAATTTCTACCATAAAAATAATGGAAAACAGCATCGGGTTAATAAGAGGTGCGTTTCGAGTTGTTCCGCACTGTAACAGCCAGCTATGAATTTCGAGGCCTTTTAGATCTTCTTGGGCCCGTTTCTTCGTTGCTTTCCTCTGGTTTCAGATCGAGATTTACTGGATATTCAGCAAATTCAGGAAGTATTTTAAGTTTTTTCATCGAAAATTGAGATCTCTCCAAATCCAAAAGATTTGGTCTGGTGTACGGTAACAGTCGTTCTAATCTTACTCCATCTGGTGATTCTTTTAGATACTTTATATTGGGAAAACCTTTGTTAGTAGCTGCAGCCAGAGTACCTCTTGAGTAAGGATAAAGGTCATATGAACTAAGTCCTACTACATTGATTGGTTTTGAAGAAGTACACCGTACACCAGAGACTTTTATGAATGTGAATTTTTTAATTTCGGCAATAGATGGTCTGATTTTAGGATCTTTCTCCAAGCATGCAGTAATAAACCTCCAAAAGTACAAGGGCTGGAGAGCTAAAGTTCTAATGTTAACGCTCCCACTCTTAGCCATCTCCAATAATTTTGACTTGTCATTAGTCGGGCGGATATTACCAGCAATCAGCGTAGCTGCTAACATTCCCAATTGCCAGATATCCGCTTTCTCGGTGATTTCAATTTCGTTGGCAATCTCAGGAGCCATGTAGTAAATATCAGCAGTAAATTTCTTCATATTAGGCCATCTAGTGTTATAGCAATTACAATATGAGTGACTAAAATCAGCCAGCCTTATATCTCCTCTTTTACTTACGAGTATAGTTTCTGGTCTGATATTCAAGTAGATGATTTTTAGTCGATGAAGTTCTTCTAGCGCAAACATTACTTGAGCGGTAATTGATCCTGCCATGCACACAGAAATATGGCATTCGAGCATAACGTCTTTTAAAGTCACATCATATGTGGTATCAGTTATAAAAACTAGTGACTGATCTAATAGGTAGATCCTGTAAACTTTAGGCAAAACATTATACTTCACGTTCCCTCTTGCCAAGCGTCTAAGGATGTGACTTTCTCGGAGAGCGCAGAGTACCGCGTCGGAATTGTAGAAGAAGATTCGTTTATACAGGTATGATTGTAGTCTCTTATCGGGGTCTTTGCATCTGGCCTTGTAAAGTAGTGAATACGTGCCTCGACTTATCAGCTTTTCAACTTCGAACTCTGCCAGTTTTGCGTAAAGAGATGAGAGAAGTAACTCTGACCTGAGAATATTCAAGAACTATTATTATTGATCACGCTTCACTTCAAATGAATACTTCTTAAATGGCTTCTGTAAATTCAGTTCATTATTTAAAACTTCTGATATAATTATTAGCATGTGTTGAATACTCCTAATGGAATATGATCCAAGTTCAGGAAACTTTGCTTCACATGTTAGTGATTTCAAATTTGTTTTCCTGAAATCATGATCTTAAATGAATTTGGTAAAATTTTAGCAAATGGAATATTTTAATTATCAATAACTAGAGTTTAGAATTTTACTTATGGCTGGATAACAACTCTATTTACATCGAAGGCGTGGCTAAAGTATAGGTATCTGGTAAAAATACTCTATTTAATTCAAATAGGTTAAATTTGACTAATTCGCTAATATAAAAAAGAAATGTCCGTAAACAGCACTCAGAAACTCACGACTGCTCGAAATTACCAATTTAAGGCGGTATTCTGGTCTAGAGACATGAATTTTAGGTAATTTTTGAAGTGCTGTAAGAAAAGTTAACAATATTTTTATTATCAATTTTTATAAATTATTTATTTACATTAGAAGCATGCAAAAAAATAAAAAGTAAAAAATTCAAAATTTTGTTAGTTATCAACTGATGGAGTGGTGCGTCTCAAAAATTTGGTGCGAGATTTAAACTCTCCTAGCAATCTGAAATCAAAAAATAAAAAAATATCAGCAATCTAAAATAATGTCGCTATGTCTGGAACTACGGAAAAGTTGCAGAAATATTTTTTTACAAAATGGCGACCGTCTAAAAGAGCAATTTTTAACACTTTATTGGAAATTCTTCGATTTTTAAAAATAGTAAAAATAACAATTTGGGAATGAACGTAGTTCCGGACATAGACAAGTCCCTAAAGAAGACTCTGTTAAAATTTCAAGTAAATCGGTTTGGCAGAGCCTGAGAAATCGTGGGTATCAGATTCAAAAAAAACAAATTTTGAGAAAAAGGCGTTTAAAGTTTCAAAAAAATTTTTTGCAGTCCAAGTCATAAAATTATATTTTTAACTTACATTTATTCAACCTATCATTCCTGCTGCATACATCGGACCGTATTCGACTTTGAATAAACTTTTTTCGGCGTCTGTCTTTTCCATTCGAGCAGTTCTGGCCTCCTTTGATGCGCTGGATGCTCGTATCTCAGAGCGGTCAATCCGGGTGTTGTCTCGTCTGAAAGTGAATGCATGCGTTTCTGGACCAATTTTCACTCCCAAAATCGTCATAATCTTCAATATCGGTATAAAGCCTTCATTAAAAGTACACATAGCAATAAATGTTGCAATTTCAATGATCTCAGACCCGGAATGGATATGCTTTGGAGCGAAAGTCCATATCAGCGAGTTTAGAGACTCATTATTATTTTGAGTTTCTGAACCCAAACATCGAGATAGGTAGATAGATAGATATAACGGAACAAAAGGGCTTACTAAGAAATATGGATTCAGGTAGTCGGAGAACCCATTATGTCTTTTGTTCGATTAGTTGCAGCCCAACCGGTTTGTATGCCTGCTCAGCAAAATGCTTGTTTCTCCGAAAATAATTTTATTTTTGGAAAATCTTCTCGTAGAAATATTCTTAAATAGTTAAACTATGAAAATATGAAAAAAAGAAAATCGATTTTTTTATTTCTAGACCAGAATACCCCTTAAATCATCTAAATTGTTATAATTTACCAAATAAATGAGCAAAATTATTAACTTTATGTTTCAAAGCATTGGCAATTTCATCTTACACATAATTAGCATTGTTTTAAAATAATCGAAAATAAAATTTTCTAAACCTCAGGGTGACATCCGCCTCCGAGTTCTTCTGTAAGTTGAGTGTGGAATCATCGTAATTTGTTCCATTTAAACAAAATAATTTCCTGCATCCTATAGCCTTCATCTATTTTACAACAATAATGATCTATGACAAAAAATTACTTCTTTGAAATGGAAAACATTTCGCTCAAAACTGGCGTCTCCTTGCTCATTGAAGTGATGGATGAAAAGTGGATGTCACTTCAGGTATCTCAAAGTTTTTGAAACACTTACAGCTGGGACTACCGGTACCTATATCAACCGACTAACCAACTAACTGACGCAAGAAAGAGCATTAACAGTAGTAGCATATCCCATTTTGAGAGACATTTAGAGTGTTCATGATAGCGCTAATTTACTAAACTAAGCTAAGGGCTTAAGCTTGATCGGCTCTTGATGTCACGAAATAAGCAGAAACTAACACAATTGTAAGCTAACAATCCGCACCATCTACTGTGGACTTTGTTCTTTATGACCCGCTGAATAACTAAAGAAAGTGTTTTTATATTAATTGCCATAATGCGCGTTACTTTGATGTAGTGAAAATCATACTAATCATACTTGCGTTTGGCATCCACTAACACAAAGCTTAAAGTTGACGATTTTGTTAGCCCACATAAGAAGTGCTATAAGCAACTCGAGTATTGTGTATGTTGCGAAGAGGGGGTAGGGGGTAAAGTAATTCCCATCGGTGTCGCGTAACGTCTTAATCAACATGCTGGAACGCGCCGTTCCTAGAACTCAACATGGCTTTCAGTATGGCGGCGTTTTGTTGCCATGACAATGCTTGTATGGCAGTGTGGGGGTGTGTTATTGTGATTCACATTACCACTACCTTTGTTTGTTATACTCATTATGAAATAGAGTAATAGCCTATAAATTAGTACGAAAACTCAGAAAATTCTAAATCAGATTAAGGACGCATTTTTACCCAAGGTCGGTATGGTAAGTCGCTCAGGATTCTTCTTGGGAACTGGATAAGTCAGGATGGAAGAATACTGGAAGGGCAAAAGTGTGTTTGGGCGAAACAAACCAAGAAATGGCTATTAGGAAGGCAGAACTTCCGTATTTCCAAATCTTAGAATAGGCTTAAGTATTATTACTGTACTTAGATTCATACAAAGCAATACTGAATTAATCTACGATAAAATCCGATTAACTAATAGTTATCCCCCCAAACCCTCACCCCCGCATCCACTACTAAAATCAGGTTTCAGTAATTTTGAATAGAATAGTTGACCCAAATGGCATTTTCTCATTTGAGTAAGGTTGATGTTCAATCGGGAAGCTAAATTGAAATATCATTGTCCCAAAATCATCCTCCTGCATGCATGCACCCAGTAGTGATTAATATAAGTCCCGGGTGTCAATTAATTAGGTACTTAGATCTATTTAGGTCCTTAAGCTATTTATTAATCATAGTATGGCTATGGACTTACCCCCATATGACATAAATAAATATCTATTTATTATCAAATGCCAGGCAATTTGATGGTTATCATTAGCCCTTTAGTTGGCTTCAGGCTTCACAGAGGAGGAGGGGGAACATCAAAGTGACAAAAAGCCGAGAGGGGGGGGACAGAAGAGTGTTTCAATGAAGAAGGTAGAAAAGGTAGAAATAGAACTGAGGTGAGTACTATGGAAGTGGTCGACTATGACATACAGTGAGGTCATGGTAGTTAGAAGTCAGAAGTCAACTGCCAGTTAATAGACTTTTTTGCCGTATGAATATACGTTGCCCAGGTTGCACCACGTGGAGGAATATCAATTGCACACCCCACATAAATAAATAAATAAGCAACAACTTTATCAATCACGAAAAAGCCCTAAACTGGGAAGTTTTTGCCTAAAGGTGACCCTAAATGTGCTAATAAAGACCAGAATTGGGGTCGCGTATTCCAATATCTCCTTAAAGGTTGAGGTCAAAGCACATAGCCCGATTAAATGATTTAACACAAAAGGTCATGAGTGTGATAGAGATGTGGATAGCCGTATGACGTAATTCTACTTCTTGTAAGTCACATCTATTGATTTCTAATTTCTTCTACTACCATCCATGCATTTCATGGCGTCTGATACTCTAACAATTTGTGAGTCCAAGCTATTCTTGATGTCTTGACCTCCTAATTTGATACAATTATCACAATTTTAGTAGTAACTTCATCATCAATCATAAGGAATTGATTATTAACTCAAAAAATCACTGTAAGGATAAAGGCTTTCTCGAAAAATCACGCTGGGTCTAAAAAACTATTTCTTAATATGTAAGTGGAGACTTATGCCAAATTCCACATAAAAAAATCTGGAAGGCCCTCTTTTAGCATTATTGAACAGTCTAAAGTCCAGATAAATCCTCTCCCTTCTGATTTCAAGTTTGCAAGCAAGTGACCCTGCTGCTAAGAGTTAATACGATGGAAAAGTCAACTCAAACCAAGTTGAGTTAGCAAACTCAATCCCGATTATCAATTGGGAAAGGGGAGGGCTATTTGAATGAGAAAATAACTGTTCGAACTAAAATATAATTTCCTTCTTAATTTATTTATTCGTGTAATCGGTTGAATATTGCAAATAACTTTATTCATCAGTTTTTTGTGGAATTTTGAAAAAAAACATTCTTAAGTGAGGTAAGATTGGTCTATCAAAAATATACCG